TTATCCTTTACAAATTCTTCTACCTTGTCAGTTTTCCAAAATTTTGTTTATTACACATTTAACAATCTTTTTATTGCGTATATTTTTACGTACGAAATAATCTTATTGAGGTAAGAAAGCAATATGGCCACTGATCAAAATATTTCTCAACTTAGAATTTTGATATTTAATATATAAAACCAACACATTCAACAGTATTAAATAACGATAATGAATTCAGAGTGACAAAATGATTATATTAAAAGAGAGAGAGAGAGAGAGAGAGAGAGAGAGAGAGAGAGAGAAAGAGAGATGTTACATGATCAGGCCCGGTTTGAAGAGGGAAAGTTGTTAGTTTTGGTTATGTTCGTTTCTAAATCGTAACCAGTTCTTTTTTTTCTTCTTTTTTTTTTTTTGTTATCGCATTATTGCACACGCGTGTTTAGAATATTTGCATAATTGTAAACGTAACATATGATACAGAACGTCCATAAATTTAAATATTACAACAAAAAATGTAATACACCAAATAAGCGAAACGATACGTAAAGGCAACCGTGTCAAATTCAAATATCANGAGAGATGTTACATGATCAGGCCCGGTTTGAAGAGGGAAAGTTGTTAGTTTTGGTTATGTTCGTTTCTAAATCGTAACCAGTTCTTTTTTTTCTTTTTTTTTTTTTTTTTTTTGATCAATTTATAATACGTACAAATAAAATCGATCATTCTAATTCATTTAAATGTTTCTCGGTGAGAGAACGTCCATAAATTTAAATATTACAACAAAAAATGTAATACACCAAATAAGCGAAACGATACGTAAAGGCAACCGTGTCAAATTCAAATATCAGAATGGAAATAAAATTCGCACGTTTGTTGTTGTTTCATTTACATTTCGTAAACGTATTTGTTATCTATCTCCCGTTTGTAAAACAGAAATTGTAATTTAAATAATTTGTAATAAATTAGAATTGGACATGGACTAAAAAAAAAAAAAAAAGAGAAAAAAGAAAATTTTCCATAAACCTTTCTCTCTCTCTCTCTCTCTCTCTTTCTCTATCTCTCTTTCTCTTCTTTTATTCGTCATGAGAGAGTAATGGGAACGCGGTCGAACGCGGCTTTTAACTTTGTGGTTGTGTGGTTTTGTAGTAGTTGTGCTGGTGTGTCAGTGGGAGGGGGAGGGTGAAGGTGAGGGTATAAAGAGGAAGAGGAGGAAGGGAGGTTTGGGAGAAGGTAAAGGCGCCCCGCAAAGTTACCAAATCGCTATGGCGTAACATTTTGCTTATTCACGTTCGATTATACAATCCGGCACACTTTTACTCTGACGGTCCGAGACTAGTGTCGCCATATTCTCTCTTGTTACACCGTAGTTGTTGGTACGGTGTTTCCGCACGTTCAAACTACCAAAAAATTCTTTACATCATCCAATTGGTCATCCTTTTCGCAGTAGTATTAGTAATAGTATGTATTAGTAACAGTGATGGTAGTAATTTTTTTTTTTTTCCTTATGATTCCAAAAGGAGGTCACGAATATGGTAGTAGTTTTTTTTTCCTGTTTATTTCTTTTTTTACTCGTACACGCAGTATATATGAAAACCACAAAATATGATGTCTCTCTGTATATGTATATTACCACATATATATATTGTGGTTAATTATTTTTACAAAAATTGATAATTAAATTTTATGAATATTATCAATGTAATTGAGTATTATTATTTCAAAGAATATTCCTTTAGTAAATTAATTATATTATGTATATATGTATGGAACACCCAAATTATAAAGAGTTATACATGAGTATGTTGAAAAGTTATGGAATCTAACAACGTTATTTACGATCACAAATTAACTTTTATCGAAATAAAAATAAGAAAATAATTTAAAAACCTTTGAATCAAACCTTTCGTAGATATAATTATTATTTTCAACGTAGTTAACATAAATTGAGATAAATTATACTCGTATAGTAGTTCAATATAATTATGACTTCTAATTTAAAAAGTAAAAACGAACATAGTAAATCGTGTATGATTTGAAAAAATAATAAATAAAGAACAGAAAGAGAGAGAGAGAGAGAAACATAATTTTGATCATGGTCACGTTGGTTTTCGAGATACATAAATAAAAAGAGAAAGAAAAGTATGGATAGTAACTAACCAATATACACACAGTATTACTGTATTAGTAACGATGGTAATGGTGATGGGTGTACAGAGTGTTCGTTTTGCGTTATGTTCGCGTTTAGCTGTAATGGAAAATCGGGTCGAACGCGTTGTTAGACTCACGGAATAGTTTCGAACTGGGGAAAGTTAGATTTGATATATTGTCGATAGAGAAATAGAAGAGTTGAGAACTAAACTGACCACCACCACCACCACCACCATCACCACTACCATCATCAAACGGAATCTTGGTGTCTTCGAGTCACGCGTCTTCATCGTTCCCTTTAGAAATCGAACCAGACATACAAACACACACACACACATATATATACACACCCATGTTTATAATAATTGGTAGAGAGGATAATTAATTTGGTTTCCGTACAAATGTACATTGTCTTTTTTGTTGTTGTTGTTTTGGTTTCTTTCTCTTCCTCTTCCTTTCCTTTCATTTCATTTTTTCGTTGATCTGTGTTTTTTCATTCGTTGCCCATAATTGATACAACTTCCCCCTTCTCGTTATACATTTTACCCCACCCTTCACTTCCACCCTGATTTCGTTTACTTTTTTTTGTTTTTTTATTTCCTTTCGAACGAAATACATTTCACCGTACAGGATTTTTATACCAATGGGGAATGAAGTTTTCACTTTGGAAATTTCTTTTTTATTCGCAATGCAATAATATATATCGTGAAAGAGACAACCTTGGCGCCATTCTCCCAATCGTCCAATTGCCATACTTTTTTTAGGGTACCATGTATGTTGTTTTTTTTCTTTCTTAATTTGTATCTTCTTTTTCTTTTTCTTTTTTTTTTTTCCTCATTTCTCGTGATTTTTCAATCACAGACGTTGCGTGCCAGGTGCGTGCCGACAAAATCAGCTGCCACTTTAATCGAATATCGTATGAGAATTTGTGCAGAAAAAAAAGAGAAAGAGAGAAAGAGAGAGAGAGAGAGAGAGAAAGATATATACATTTGCACGGATTACGCGATGTTCGAAGAATACACATATACATACACACATACAGACACACACAGACATACATTTAGGCTTTTGCGAACATATCATAACATACAAATATATAGTCACTATCTCACGTGCGAAAGTATGGCTTCCTTTATCGAAATCGAATATGTTGTTTCTGTGTGTTTGTTATTAATGTGTGCAACGACAGCTGCTGCGTACGCTTTCCCAGAGATTGTCATTAATTATTATTACAGCAACGTGGTTCTGCCAATTCCTCTTATATACGTTTATACTACTACTACTACTATTACTAATACTTGATTTTTATAGATATATATATATTATTATATTAATATACTAATTTGGTATATAATATAAATATCAAAATATATATAAAAAAAAGAATATAATTAATAAATAACCCAATGAGATCAAATAAACCATACAACACACCCTCCTCCCCTGTTCCTCCTCATCGTATAATTTTCACTTCTATTCACAAAAAAATTGTTAGTGTTGATCAACCGAAAATGATTATCCTTATGTTTCTTTTTAATTTTCCAAAGTAAAGCGAGTTACCAAAAGAAAAGAAATCAAAGAGAAAGAATGAAAGGATAGAAAGGAAAGAAAGAGAAATGAAAAGGAAGAGAGTTGTGTGTTTGATCTAACGTAAAGTAAATCGGTAAAACTCGTACATTTAGGTGTATTTGTATGTGTGTGTGTATATGTTATGTAGGTGTGTGTACCATCTAACATAAGGCAGGAAGCGTATCTGGGCCGTTAGAATCGGAGAACGTCAAGTGGGTCACGGGAACGAATCGAACTTCTTCTTCTTCTTCTTCTTCTTCTTTTTCTTTCTCTTTATCCTTTCCTATGATTTTTTTCTCTCTCTTTTTTTTTCCTTTTTTATTACTTTTTTCTTTTTTTTTTTATTTCCTTTAGGATATTGAAGAGAGAAGAGAAGGAGGTGTCAAACATCCGTTGAGGAAGTTCTCGATCTCACTTGTGTGAACAAATAAATAGATCGGTATCAAGGTAGTGTACATGCTTATATATTGAAAAAAAAAAAATAAATAAATAAACTCAACTTTAACGATTATTTTGTCAAAATTGATTTGAGTTATCGAAAATACGAAGGAATACGAGGAGGAAGAAGAAACCGTATCAATAATTTTTTATTTTTCTATTTTTCTTTCCCCCTTATTTTTTTGTTCTCTCTCTCTCTCTCTCTCTCTCTCTCTTTCAAATATGGTAAACCCAAGATTGATATCTAAAAAATCCCAGTTTTCTTTATCGAATATTTGTTTCTATCGATCAGGTATGAGATACATTCTCGACTGTCGTCGAGGAGACCGACAACTACGATAAAGAAACGAGGTCAAAGAAAAGTCCCCTCCCCTTGGCCCCTCCCTATCCTCATCTACCTCCTCCTACGTTACTTCTTAACACAATTGCACATACATACATACACACACACATATATATATAAACGAACAAGCACCTGTGAGAATGAACCATTGCACGCAATTCTTTCGAAATATTCGATAATCAAAGCCGTTAGTATCGTATCGATACGAAAAAAAGAAAAAAAAACTATTTGTTATGTTTTTTATTAACAASAAAAATATATATTTAAGAAATATTATTATTATTTTTTTTATTTTGCAATAATTGTACGTACGTTTTATTATTTTCTTTTTTTGGGTTTTAATTTAAAACGCGAAATCAAACGATTGATTTTAATATTTGCCCAATGAACGTTTACGATTATGTTTTTATAATAATTGAATAATTTATTTAGGGAAAGTTTATTTAAAAAAAAAAAAATATTATCAATGTAATGTTTATATTGAAAAGATATAAAATATAATAATGGAAGATAAACTTACATGTTGGTGGTTGACGATAGTGCAAATGTTGAAGACTTTGCGTTTGATGATGATGATGATGATGTGGGGGTCCCATTGCAGCTCCCATACTGTGATTATTGTGTTGATTGTGTGGTGAACTTCCTCTGTGAGGGTGATACTGAGAGGGATGATGTTGATGGGGATGATAAGAGGGTGGTAGAAAACCCGCCGTTGATGGATATACACCAGGACTGTGACAGGCTGACCTACCCAAAGCTAAATTCAAAAACAATTTGTCAATTACTATTTTCATTATCTTTGCAATTTTTTTTATTTACATATAATAAATACATATGTATGTATATATGTTGTGTTATCTAAAAACATTCATCGTGAAGATAAATATTTTTAATATAGGATATATAACAGATTTGTGTTTTATATATATATATTTTTAATAAATTTATTTTTAAAAATATATTTTTATACTACTACAAAATGTAATTATAAGTTGCCCACCCCCCAAATAAATGATATTGTGAATATATTTTTAAAATAAAATATAAAATAAAATTGTTCGAATATAAAATCTCGAAATAAATCATCTCGTGTAAATTCTTACCTGAGGATAAATGTGAATGATGTGACGCTAGACTCGGTTGAAGGGACGAATTAGGATTGAGCCTAGCTTTTAATAGGAGATTCGCGTCCTCGTTACCACCTGAGGACGTACTTGATTCTACGTCACTGACTCCGCTGTCCGCAGGGCTGGCTGGCAGTGATCCGCTTCCTGAGATTTTGTCATTTTCGTTTTGATAATGTAACAAAATAAACAAAACAGACATACATATGCCATGTAGATTATTAATTATCATTATATACACAAATATCATTAACACAATCAAATTAATTATTAACGAAATAAACAATTGAAAATTATTGCAATACAAATCCAAATCATATGTTCATATTTTACAAATGATTAAATATTATCTTCAAAATTCATTTATGTTCAATCAAACAATTAATTTACATATCATTGCAATATTAACAAAAAAAAAAAAAAAAAATAGAACTAGTATTCATTTTCAAATTCAGATTCCACCATTAACCCCCCTTTCCCCTTTATTCTTCCTTCCATACTTGAAAATTCGTTCAACCTATTATCTCAATCTCGAGACAACAATAAAGCAGGGATTTAGTCAACGTATGTATCATGAAAAATAATCTTGACCCCAGTTTAGAAGTTCAAGAAAGCAGTCCTACTACTACTACTACTTCAATCCATTCTTCATACATCTCTCTCTCTCTCTCTCTTTCTCTCTTATGAGCTTTATCGAACGCATCAGCATTAAACAGCAACACCAGACCAGGACCTAGCAGTAGCAGCAGCAGTAGCACAGCATCACCAGCAACACCATCACCACCATCACCACCACCATCATCATCAGCAACAGCAACAGCAGCAGCAGCAGCAGCAGCAGGAGCAACAACGAACGTGTTTTCGCGTGCGCGGTCAATTAAAGGCATCTTTATGCAACGTACGAAGGTCATCCGGTCATTGGGTATGCATATCTGCCGTGCTTCCCACGGCCTCTTCGCGAGAGGAGCAGGAGACCAAACAGTAACTGAGTAAAAGAGAGAGAGAGAGATAGAGAGAGAGTAAACCAGTCCCTAAAGGGCTCTTCGTCTCTCTCTCATTCTCTCTCTCTCTCTCTCTTTCTTTTTAAACGAGTGACTATCTATTTGTCCCCCTATCTTTCTTACTTCTTTTTCTTTTTTCTTTCCAAACGAGAGACTATCTGTCTCTCTCTCTCTCTCTCTCTTTCTTTCTTTCTTTTATATAGACACCATCACCACCACCACCACCACCACCACCTTCTTGTTGTTCTGTTGCACAAGCTCATCTTCTTTCTCTTTCTTTCATTTTTATTTTATTTTCTCATCCTTTTATCCAATTTATTATTCTCTTATTCTATCTCAGATTATTTTGTACTGTGCTGTGTTGTGTTAGATTCTTTTTAATTCTACTTATACATTTTCATATTACATCAGATTTTCTTATTATCTTCCTAAACTAACCCCTCACTCTACCTTTTCAACCCTCATACGTATTCTTTTTCACGTAGTAATATAATAATTTAAATAAAAATTAATAGTATATTAAAATATAAATATATATATAATTATTATAATATATAATTTTTATAATATTTCTTATATTATATTCTATTATATTATATTATAATAAATTTAGATATAATATAATAAACTATTTAATATAAATTATAACAACACATAACAAATAATATCAAAATTACAATAAAATAAATAAAATAATGATACACGAAAAAAAAAAATAAAAAGTAAGGTCAGATTATGTCATATATAAATCTGATACCAATATAACCTCTAAATAACAAATCCTAAACTTAGCAATAAAAAAATACATAATAATCGCGATAAAAACTATCCTATATCCTAAGTTGAACTAAAATACACAAAATAGAAAAAAAATTTCATCAAAGATCCATTTCAAGTCGCAAAATTCATCGGAAATCAACAATGTGACAGTGAATTTTTATATAAAAAAAAATTAATAAAATACTTTATACGATCTTTTTCTCGCAATATGCAAAACCTATCCCTGTGTATCCCTTTCTCTTTCTTTATTTTGTTATTTTTTTTTTATTTTTCTCTGTCTGGAATCGTGCAGAATAAAACTAACCACCACCACCACCACCACCACCACCATCATCACCACAGTGGAGTTTCGGATATCCGCATCGAATCTAACCGACCAATCGCGTAGCTCCTTCTTGCAAAACAGACCAACGTTCTTCTTCCCGATGATACAACACACCACTTTTAGTCTCGTCTTTTATATGTGTGCTTCCTTTTTTATTTATTTTTTTTCTTCTTCTTCTTCTTCCTCTTCTTCCTCTTCTTTTTCTTTTTTTTTTTTTATTTGGGGACTGATCTTTCTTCTCTTTAGCTATGCATATAATACGCAAGTTTCTTTTCAATCCTTGCAGACGAGCGGAAAAAATTCAAATGCTCGCAAGTTTTTAAAGTCCAAGTTATGTCTGTGTGTTGTTAGAGAAAGAGAGAAAGATTACTTCTGGTTTTCTTTTCTTCCATCATTTTTCTTTTTGTTAAACTTCTTCTTTTACTGCTGCTGGTTGCTGTTAGCTGCTGTTAGCTGCTGGGGGTAGTGAGGGTTGCATTTTGATCAAAGTCTAAGATTTGGATTATTTTTTATGATACTTTTTTCTTTTTGAAATTATTTCATATGATATTGGATTGTTCTTTTTTTTTCATTTAAACAAACACTAGTTGAATTTTTTCGTCACTAGGGGTAAAGCATTTTTTAAAATGGCATATACAAATTGCCACCACGTTGACAAAAAGTCATCAATAATTATGATAATTATTATTATTATTCAAATTATGAACAATTTATTATTTTATTTTATTCTAAAAACGTTACTAAACGTATACTAAACGTTACGTTCTATACGTAAAAACGTATTTCCATAAACCTCACCATTTGAATGATATTGAAGATTGAAGTTTGATTAATTTAAGACAAATTTCATGTTTGTTTATGAATTTTATAACTCGACAATAAATGACTAATATAAAATGCGCAATACAAATTTTTGTAGTAAATTAACTGTTCTATAAAAATGGTGTCTTATGTTTTGGCGATTAAATTAAGCGTTCAAAAGATATTCATCATCAAACTTTCATGTGTACTGATTTTTTTCTCTGAATATCTTTTGAACGTTTAATTTAATCGCCAAAACATAAGACACCATTTTTATTTTATATATATATATAGGTTGGATCGTATTATTTAAAAAGTTCAAGAGAAGACTAATGATAGTCGTCTCGCTTTTAGCATGGAAGAGAAAAGTCATACTATAAAGAGTGTTTATTGGCTACCTCCAACGGAAGTAGTGATTTCCCGAGCAAGTTGTTTAGAAACCCAACCCGATACTACCAACTTCAAACGGCTTCCTATCTCAAACTATCTCGAACGACGATTTAATACTATATATATACATGTATATATATATATATAATCCACCATTACGAATATAAAAAAAGAAAACTTTAGAATAACGATTCTAATGTCTAAACTTTTAATGTTTAAATAGAGGATAATGTTTCTATCACAAAATTAATTCGTACGTATTGACGTAATGTAAATGAACAAAATTATTCGTTAATTAAAATTGTACAAAATTGTTGAAAATAAAATAGAATATAAAATAAAATGAAATAGAAAAAAGTGTTCTATAAAACTGTTTTTTTTTTTTGTTTTCGATACTTTCTTCTATTTCGAAGTTTCCTACGAAGAGAAAATGTTCCAATTGTGATTTTAGTATAATATATTGAATCCTATTTATAGTATATATGTATATATAATCATCAAGAAACTCACAATAACGCCATTTTAGTTACTTCCGTTCTTAATAAAATTCATACTCTATTTTCTACTGTTCCTTTTACAATTAATTTTATATTCGAAAAAGAGTTATAGGAACCGAAAGAAGTAATGTCTTAATCTTTTATTATTTTAAATCCGAATAAAACAAATAAAAAGGTAAAAGAGGGAAGGGGACCAAATTGATAGATAAAAATCTGTGATGATATACAAATTTAAATAAAACGAATAACGAAACTAATAAAATGTTGCTCAATTATAAATAATAAATAATAAATAATAAATTTCAATAACGCGATATTGCGAATTATTATTATATTATTTATTATATTATTATTATAAATATTAGTATAACATTGCAACAGTTGAAATTAGTTAACATTTAAAAAAAAATAAAATTCGAGAAAAGAAAATAGGTGAATTAATTAAAAAAAAAAAAAAAAAAAAAAAAAAAATAGAAAAAAGAAAAATAGAACAAAAAAGTAATAATTTAAAATAAAATATTAAATAATACCAATTAATATATAAAAATAATAATTAGTTGTCTGACGATAAAGCGTTTTACCTGGCGTACTCGTGGTAGCAATGGCGGCAGTGGTATAGGGTGGTTGAGCCATTTGAGGATGGCCGGCTGGTGTCTGCATATGTCGGCCATAACCGTTTTGCACCCCAAGCGTATGTTGTTGGGGATGCTGCGAAAGGATTCCATGAAGTAAACGTGCACCGGTAGTTGTGTTCGCTGTACTCGCACTCGTAGAACCTGGTTCTACTTTAACACTCGCCAAACCTAATTGTTCTTTCTCGTTTGTCGTCGTCTCGTGTGGTTGTACCTCCCTTGTGTCAACTGAAAAATACAAATTGACATATCGTACTGGTTAGCCATTTTCCTTTTTTTATTTTTTTTTTTTTTTATTTTTTTTCAATTTCATTTATTAAATTTATAATAATTCCATCGATGTATATATATATTCAAACAATCAATGAAATGATTATTCTTACGAAAAAAGAACAAATATGGCGGATAGAAGTTACCATGAATAATATCAAACTATTTCGCATTTATCCTACATTCGATCAATCCTACAAAAATAACAAACAAAAAAAAGAAATAAGAATAAAAAATGAAGAATTAATTAAAATATAATCTATCGTAGACAAATATGGCGAAGATGGGCTGGGGGAGGAAGAGGGGAGGGGAGGGGGGTATTTATGTCACAATCTGAATCACAAGTTGTACGTTTATATGTGCGACAAGAAAAGAGACGTTTAAACGGTGGTCGTGTTAGGCAGAAAAAAAAAAGAGAGAGAGAGAGAGAGAGTGAGAAGGAGAGATATGAGGAGGGGGGAGAGGAAGAAAAAAAAGAGAAGAAAGATAGAGTTAAAGTGTTCTCTCTCTCTCTCTCTCTCTCTCTCTTTCTGAAGGGGGTATAGAGCGGTAGTGAGGAGAGGAAGTGAAAGCCGACGTCTCTCCTTGACCCACTGCAACGTTTCTACCTTCCTTTCAGGCAGTGCCAACCTCGCGGCTTCATTAAGCAATTTCTCGTAGCTCCTGGGGAAAAATCGGCATGGAAAAGCGTCGGAGCGAACGCGCGCGCGCGGGCGCGTGTGTGTGTGTGTGCGTGTGTACGCTGCTGACCACGCTAGCACGCGATCGAATTTGGATCTTTTAACGATTAATATCAATTCTTTTTATTATTTATTTAATTATTTATTTAATTATATATATTTACGTATAATTGAATACAACTGTAATATGTAGAATTAATTTATAATATAACAAAATTGTAATATACATTAATATAAAATAAATTTATAATAAAATATAATAAATAATAATAATAATAATTATTATTATTATTTTTCTATTTTATTTTTGTATATTTTTTTAGATATATATCATGTATATTCATTATATCATATTATATGTATTTCTCGTATCAGATGGGTTTGGTAAAAGAACGAGAAAGTTCATCTCCATAAATTCTTCTATCAAATGAGCAAATGAGCGAAAGAGAACGAAAGAACGAACAACATGTATTACACATTTACGTTAAAGGTCAAAGGAAATTGTGTAAGATGGAGGATATATCTTGCGAGATCTCTTCGACTAACGGCTAAGAGGAATCAGAATGCGATCCTTGTGCTCTTTTAAAGTAAAAACGTTGTTGAATATGTACTAAGAGACTCTTAGAAATAAAAAAAAAAAAAAAAGATAAAGAAAAAGATAGAAAATAAACCTTTTTCATTTTATCTTTTTCTTTTTCTTTTTTTTGTTTTTTTCCCTCTAATTTCCTACCTTCATTTTCACCTGCATATATTAATTTAATTAACGATAGTTATATGTTATTTATTTATTTTTTTTTTTAATGGAATTATCTAAAAACGATTCAAATGAGAGGATAATCAGAATTGGTGAGAGAAAGAAGGAATGAAAGAAAAAAAAAACAAAAAAATAAGTATTTACATTTGACATAATCTAATCGAATGAACGAACGAACGAACGAATGAACGTACGAGCAAGCAAACGAATATTTTTCTTCCTTCTTCTTCTTCTTCTACCTCTTCTTCTCTCTCTCTTTTTTTTTTCTTTTTTATTTCTCTTTTTTTTACTTCGATAATTTATCGACAGTTTGTTTGACGTCAGAAATTTCCAATTGTCGATTATGATTGTGCAAAACCACGAAACTGCGTTAAAGGTCTCTCTCTGTCTCTGTCAATTTATTTCGAACGATAACAAAATTTTTCTTCTCCTTCTTCTTCTTCTTCTTTATTTATCTCTTTTTATTAATTATTATCATTTTTTTTTTTTTTTTATTGTTATGTTACAATAAATATCTATATTGATTTGTCGCGGTTGAATTGAATAATACATTAATTCATTTTTACGATTAATGTATCAAATTAAAATAAGATGTAACACACCACGTTTATTATAAAAAAAAAACGAAAAAAAAGAAAAGAAGAAAATGTGAAGAAAAAAAAATTAAAAAAGAAGATGGATCTTTTTGATAAATATCTCTCAAGTAGCTCTATATTAAGCTGTTTACATTGGTGATAAGATAATTACTCGGTGTTAAACACAGTTTATGGATTTTTACGAACATACGTCAAATATGTCACATACATACATACATATACATACAATATATACACGTAAATGGGAATGTATTTTTTTAATATATATACGAATCGAATAAATCGAATGAAATTATTACCAATATGGCACAGATCGACAAAATGTCTTTTCTAATTTTATTAATATTATTAATAATAATAATAATAATAATAATAATAACAATAATAATAACAATAATAATAATAATAATAATAATAATGATAATGATAATGATAATGATAATGATAATCAAAAATATGAATTTATTTATATAAGATCATTTCCTCTCGTAGTATCAAAAGCATACCACTTTTACCTCGTTACATTATATTTTATTCTACTATTTTTCTCCACAACGTAAAACATATGTATATGTACGTGATAGAGTAGTATATGTGAATATGAATAATAGTGGGTATACGAAGAAGGGTTTAAGGACCTCGGTTAACCCTCAAGTACCCTCTCGTCCAAGTTATTCTCCAACAAGCGTGGGTGCATTTCAGATGATTTTTTTTTTCTCTTACAATTTCTTATCGTGCGAATCGACTCGAATTATCCCTGGCTGATTTCCCCCTTTTTTCACCCCACCACCCCCCTCTCTCTCTCTCTCTCGCCTCCTTATCATTTCACCTAACTATTCTCGCTTTAGAAGTTCCTTATATTTTAGAAGGGGGGCGGGGGAAAGAAGAAGAAAAGAAGAGGAAAATAAAAAGAGGGAAACAGGAGTCAAAAAACAAAGAAAAGAAAAGAACAGGGAGAGGAAGGTGATGGGGTGAGTGAGTGAATGGATTGATTGGTCGAATGAAAATATTTTCGTGAAATTGCAGAAAAATAAAACATCTTTGAAATATTCGTCATAATATTTTCTACTTCATTACACCACCCACCCACTCAACCCAACCCAATCAACACAACCCACTTGATATTTTGATTTGGTTTAATTTGGTTTGGTTTTTAGTGAATAAAACTACGACGATTTAACGAATGGGGTTTTTGTTTTGGTCATTTTTAAATAATTCGTAAAGCGTAATCTCTATCTCTCTCTTTTATGATAAGTTTGTTTTACGAATTTTCAAGGTCAATGTTTCTATTTCTTTTTTTTTTTTCTGAAGAGTTTCGAGAAAATGCAAGAGAACCGGTTAAATGGTTAAGATAAGAAAAACCGAACACATAATCAAGTTGAAACGAAATTTCGTTCGTTCGTTCGTTCGTTCGTTCGTTCGTTCGTTCGTTCGTTCGTTCGTTCGTTCGTTCGTCTGGCCAAATTTAAGATTCGCGTAAGTCGTTAACGTTGATTAGATAATAAATTCAAGACCATAACACGCATGATTTCTTCAATCTTTATATTAATTATATATGTGTGTTTGTGCTTGAGTGTGTACATGAGTGTGTAAGTTAGTTAAGAAGTGTATATTTATGTAAGTGTGATACGTATTTGAATAGGAATTATTATTGCATTCATATAATGTTGTATTTTTAACACACATATACGTATTATGTATAATGTACGATCGTAATAATTATAAATACAATAAATTTATTTTTATAATAATCCTCTTATTAGTTTATTAGAAAAAAAAAAAAAATTCTATTTGTGTATCGACAAGTTGTATTGAAATAATTATAACACGTGTATAGAAAAGTTAACAGTGTGAAAAATACAAAAAAAAAAGGAGAAATTAAAAATTGTTAGTTGAGTTTATCATATTAGTTAATTTAATGGTTTTTTTCTTGCTTTTTTTTTGGTTTTGAAATAATCATATATCCAAAATAAAATAAAATAAAATAAAATAAAATAAAATAAAATAAAATAAAGTAAACTAAAATAAAATAAAAAATAAATTAAAATAAATAACCAAATGAAATTAAATAAAACATAAAATAAAATAAAATTACATAATACATGAAAGAAAAAAAAAGTATGAAATATTAAATGGCCTATTTTAAAATCTAACTTAAAAATCTCAAATGTTGATCATCAAAAATATAAAACTAAAAAAAAAAAAAAAAAAGAAAAAAGAAAAGGAAAAAAAAGAGAGTGAATAAATCATCATATTGACCGTATGAATATAAAAAAAAAATGATGGGAATTTGCAAATTGAGGAAAAGTCTGACCTTGATCCGACCTTGCTTCGCCCTCGACACGAAGTCAAGGGGTGGGTGTCTAGCCGCATCGACCGCACACATATCCACCAGTCGGTACCCACCCCTCTGACCCCCTGCCCACCCCACCCCTCATATCCTTTCCTATACTTATTCCTACCCCCTACCCTTACACATTTCCATTCTTCCCTACTTCTTGGCCATTACTCTCTCTCTCTCTCTCTCTCTCTTTCTTTCTCTTTCTTTTTCTTTCTTTTCTTTTCCCCTTTCCTCCCTTTAACCTTCCCCCTCCCTCACAGTCACCCTCTCTCTTTATACTCAGGACGCAAGGGAATCTTTAAGTCGTTTTTTTCTTTTTGTTTTTTTTTACGTACCCAAGCTTCCTGTTGGCTGTCTCATTTTCTTTCTCTCTTTCTCTTTCATTATTTGTGTGTGTGTTTGTGTGTGTGAGTGTGTGTTTCTCTTTCTCTTTGATTCTTCTATTCGACCTCGACTTCCGGTCGAGGAGCATTGAGGTGCGGCTACCAATTTTTTTTTTACGGTATCATCCGTTAACTTTTTCGTTCTAGACATTTTTCATGGTTAATTCGAATATTTGTTAATAATTATAATAATAATAAAAATAG